AATATCTGAAGAGTACCTTTTGGAACTTTAACGTCACTTAGAAACTTACACAATATCTTTTTCTCCTTTCTAGATAGAGTATAAGCAGCAAGTAGTAGATACGTTCGTTTTCCTTTCTTCAAGGGTCCTAATTCATTTCTTATTCCCATCGCTATCAAGTCCTTTCTTGCTTTAATACCATCCTTAGACTTTCCTTGTATATTGAGTAACGTACCAATAACACTTTCAAATACATTTTTTTCAATATGCATAACATCGATAAAATGTATTACATGCAACGACTTCCAATATGGAAATTCAAAAAAAATTGACCTCTTTTTCCACCCACGTGTGACAATAGTATGTGCAAAAGGCTTGCCAAACTGAGTACTCACATCTTTCACCTTTTCAAAAATTTGATCACCTGTCAATGTAGGTGGAGTTCTACCTTGTTCTTGATTCCCATTGAATTATTTGCTCCATCCGCGGTAGTGATGATTGGAATTTAAGAATCTACAGTGACTGAGAAAGACATTGTTCTGACAAAATTCTAATCGCGTCTAATCTGTGTTTTCTTCGCAAATAAGACACATACATTGACCTTTAATGTTATACCCTGATAGGTTTCTGTATGCTGGAAAATCATTACTTATGCCAAACAACGTGACCCTCAAATTGAAACTTTCTTTCGTGTATCCATCATAAACCTCCACACCGTTCTCCCACAAAATCTTTAAGTCTTCGATTAAAGGTGTCAAGTATACGTCTATGTCATTCCCTAGTTGTTTAGGCCCAGAAATTAACATAGATAATATCATGTACTTACGTTTCATACATAGCTATGGAGGTAGGTTATAAATCATAATTATCACAGGCCATGTGGAATGTGAGATACTTTGTAGACCGTGTGGGTTCATTCCATTAGTAGATAATGTCAACCGAAGATTTCTCGCTTCTTCTCCAAAATCAGGATAATCATTGTCAATTTCCATCCACTGTGGTGAATCTGCCAGATGTCAAAACTTTCCATCTATAATTCTTTCATATGCATGCCAAGTCAAGTGTTTTGCATCGGTTTCACTACAAAACATGCGTCTAAACCTCGGAATTATAGGAAAATACAATAAGAATTTTGTTGGAGACAATTTCTTCTTATATCGAGAGACACTGCATTTAGGGCACTCAGTCAAGGATGCATATTCATTTCAAAACAAAATGAAATCATTTGGACAAACATGTATCTTATCATAGCTCATGCCAATAGAGCACAATATTTTTTTTGCCTCATAGGTTCGATTGGGAAGAACATTATCATCTGGAAGCATCTCTTTCATAAGTGATAATAACTCTGTGAAGCTTTTATTCGACCATCCATTACCCGCCTTCAAGTTGTATAACTTTAATACCGCAGACAATCTTGTGAATTTAGCGCAACCTTTATACAACGGTTTCTCTGCATCGCTTACCAACCTCTCAAACATTTTGGGACAGTCCTGAAGATCTTCTTCAAGTGCTTCTGCAATCTCTTCGACTCAATCACCAAAATTATCAAATCCACATAAAAATTACCAAATATAACAACTTTTCGTCACTTAAGTTCAAACAATCAACAACTTCACAATATTCAACAATTTTTTCACGAATGTCATTCAAGTTTCAATTATAAAAAATAAATTCACAATGTCATCACTACTTACGATCTTCAACCTTAACTATTAACAATTAATTTAGTTATAATTTGCAATAAAAAAATCCAATCAAGACAAAGTCATTATCACTATTCATCATCACTAACATTCAACATTAACTTATAAAATTATTAACACCAAAAATCAAAAGAAAATCACCACAAACCTCAGTATTCATCATCCTGAACCTTAATACTAAAATGGAATTCAAACTTCCGTTGAAGTCAAATAACAACAACATCACAATGTAAACAAATAAATAAATAAACAATAAAACAAATACCATGCAAATAACTTTGAAACTGTAAAAAAAATGAAGAAAATGAAGAAATACCTTCAACAATGGTGTCACGAGGTTGCTACGGCGGTTCGAGATGATGAAGAAATGAAGGTCGGAGGTTGCTACGGAGGTTCGAGACGATGAAGAACAATGGCACGATTGGACGGAGAAAGAAACGGCGGTCGGAGGTCTGGTAGGATTCGTATGTTCGTCTGAGAGTGAGAGAGTCAAACAGAATACGTCAGAAACAAAATACGCATTCTGTTTTAATTTAAGAAAACAGACCTATAGCAACGCTTTTTAAAAGCGCTTTCTTTCTCCCCCCTACAGCAGCGCTTTCCATGGAAAAGTGCTTTCATATGTTAGCTCTTTAGCTGCGCTTTTGAAAAGCGTTATCTAAGGTGTGACCTATACACCCCCTATAGCAGCGCTTTTGAAAAGCACTGTCTAAGGTACCCCCCATAGCAGCGCTTTTTTAAAGCGCTTTCTAATGTTAGGCTTTAGCAGCACTTTCTATTGGTTACTCACTTATGACCTTTAGCAGCGCTTTACAAAAGCGCATTCTAAAGGTCCCCTTTAGCAGTGTTTTTTCCCTTGTTTTTTTATAATTTTTTTTCATCTTTTAGCAGCGTTTTTTTATAAAAGCGTTGTCTTTGTAGTGCTTCCAAAAACTACTTTTGGCGTAGTGAATGCATAACTGTTCAAAGCATAACTGCCTAACATTTTGATTAAACTTTTCGTTATCCTTACTAAGGATAAGTTCAAATAGAAAGATGCTTAATTGTATTAACATTCTTTTTCTCTCTTTTTCTGGAATTGGTCTTATCATTATTAGAACAGGTGGAGGATTATTATAAATTAGTAACAAATAATAATATTGAATGTGTTCCAAAATGACAAGAAAATATGCAAGGTTAATTTTTTAATTCAGAAACAAACAACACTTATGAAGTATTGCAGTAAGCAATTTATATTTTAAATTCACAAATAGGCAACACTTCATGAAGTGTTGCAGAATGCGAAATAATAAAGCCTTTGAAAACTGTTGTTGTAGGCGAAGTAGTACAATATTTGGTAAAAGTATTGTTGTAGGCGAAACAATAACATTTGGTAAAAGTGTTGTTGTAGGCGAGACAATGCAATATTTAGTAAAAACGCTGTTGTAAGCAAAATAATGCAACATTTGGTAAAAGTGTTACTGAAAGTGTGTGTTTCATCAAGGGTCGCAACCTTGTGAAATAACATTATTTTTGCCTATAAATTGAGCATTACAGATTCAGAAAAATATAACACAAACGTAAATTCTCTTCATATAAAATTTCATATTGTATCTTCCCTACATTCAAGTTTTCATCGGTCTTGTGCAAACTCGAGTATAGGTTGAATTATCCTGAGTATTCTTGCGTTCCAACTCTAAGACATTTGAGAGTGCTTATGAGAAGAATGTTTTCATTCGCGATTATAGTCTCGATCCATTTAATTTACGATCAATTTTTGTAACAGAAGTATCTCGGACAAAAAGTGTCTTGGCCCAAAAGGCAGGTGGCCCACAAATATCTCGACTCAGAAGGTATGCAACCTAGGAGGTAGGCATCTCAAGAAAGAGAAAGCCTCATATGTAAACAAATGGACCATGAAGTACTATTTCATAAGTGTTTCGGCCTAGAAGTGTACTCGTGTACTCTGACCAAAGGTGTCCTGACCATAGTGTACTTAGTCTAGAGTTATATCCAGCCCAAAAAAATATGCAGCCTAATAGACATGAAGCTTTAAAAGTAAACATGATTGGACCAAGGCCCATTATGTGGAGAATCAGGTGACCCTAATTCCAATAAATTCAATGATCTATGAGATGGGCACGACCTAAAGAAACACGTGATCAATACTTACTAAAACCGTGGTAGATTGTTAGATGACAATGACTGTTGGATAATCATACAAATGTAGCAAATAAAATATTCTAGATTCTTGAGAACCATAAGACCTCAATATAAAAGCCTCACAGAGGCTTCAGGCTTTAGATTCATCTATACATTCTTTAAATCTAAATCTACCACCTACCTCTAATAGCTACTGACTTAAGCGTCACAGTGTTTGCATGTAATACCTCTGATATCAAATAAAAACATCAGGACATTAGTCATAAGAGAGTTCGTAACGTGATTTCAATTAACACTGCCATCAAGCTATTGTTCATAGTCACAATTGTAATTTAGTTTACTAATTATTACGTGTTCTTAAAATACAAATTACCATTTTTAATTTAGTTTATAATTATTATGCATTATTCATATAATGTTTTTATAACATATCACAACCATTTATTAATAGTATTATTTTAAAATAATGTTTTTATAACATATCACAACCATTTATTAATAGTATTATTTTAAAATAATGTTTTTATAACATATCACAACCATTTATTAATAGTATTATTTTAAAATAGTTATTACTTTTAAATAGTTAGAATAAAAGTATTACTGACGTCAAACTAAAAAAAAAGTATTTTTACATTTTTCTATGCATATTTTTAATAATAATTCAACATCTTAATTTTACTTTTACCGGTAAAATGAGAATATGCTGTAAATGACAAAGAGTCCAACATTTGAAAGTTACACATTCATCACTTTGATAAAAATAGGGGGAAAAAATCCTAGTAGTATACAACTAGTTTTCACAAAACAACGAATGAGTCTAGTCCAGGTTGTGTGTGTGATGCAAATTCCAGAAGTAGAAACCGGCACGAACATCAGATCCTATGTGCATGTGGTTAATTTATCTTAATCTATCCGAAAATAACAGCCACAAAGTTATCTGGTGTCAAAGAATGTTTTACTAAACATTAACGTTTGACTAATCAAACCTTCTCTTCTCTCATCAAAGTGTCCCCACCTCAATTTTGTTGACCCACCGTCATAGCACACATTCTCTTCTTTAAATACATCTTTGTCTCTCTCTCCTCTTCTCATTTCCCATTCAAACCAAAAACCAAAAACACAACACTTTCAAATTCCAAACAACAAAGGGAGAAAAAAAACGTAACAACCATGTCTTGCTCCGTTGTCGTTTCAAGTTCTAATATGTTCTCTCTCCCCTCTCCTTGCCATTTCTCTCTCTCCTCCCCGGTTTTGAAGAGAAAGAGGCCGGCTAAGCTTCATATACCTGATGCTTCTTTAAATATTGAACTCCCGCCGGCGGTAATTACTCCGGCGCCGGAGAAGGATGTTGTTGAGGTGGAGGGAAATGGTTTTTCTGTGTATTGTAAGAGAGGAAGTAGGAAACATATGGAGGATCGTTATTCTGCTTCTGTTGATCTTCATGAAGAAACAAAACAGGTGATTTTTTATATATAAGAATTTCGATTTTCAGATTTTCGGCATTGAGTTTGTTCAATCTAACATGACTTTTGTGTGTGGTTGATATAGGCTTTTTTTGGCATATTTGATGGACATGGAGGTACAAAAGCTTCGGAATTCGCAGCCGATAACATGGAGAAGAATGTGTTAGAAGAAATAACCAGAAGAGATGAGAGTGATGTTGAGGAAGCAGTGAAACATGGCTACCTCAAAACAGATTCAGATTTCTTAAAAGAGGATCTTCACGGTGGTTCTTGCTGTGTAACAGCATTGATTAAGAACGGTAATCTTATCGTGTCCAATGCGGGCGATTGTCGCGCTGTTATCAGCAGTAGAGGTGTTGCTGAGGCCTTAACATCTGATCACAAACCTTCGAGAAAAGACGAAAAAGACCGGATCGAAACTCAGGTAATTAGCCTTGTGATGATATGATAGTAAGTTTGTAATTTAGGATCTCTGGAATGTTGTTGATAAATTTTGATTTGTTTTGTAGGGTGGTTACGTTGATATGTGCCGCGGCGTGTGGAGAATCCAAGGCTCTCTTGCTGTTTCTAGGAGCATTGGAGATAGACACATGAAACAATGGGTGATAGCGGAACCTGAGACTAAAGTTCTCAGAATTGAACCTCATCATGAGTTGTTAATCCTAGCTTCAGATGGATTATGGGACAAGGTATAAAACTTAATCAATTAATTGCAATGATAATGGAATTCCAATTCCTTAATGACTTGTTAATCAAGTAACTGATTAAGTTTCTCTTTTCAATCTTGTTCAGGTTAGTAATCAGGAAGCTGTAGATATAGCTCTTCCTTTTTGTGTAGGGAACAATAAACAAGGACCCTTTCAAGCTTGTAAGAAACTTGTCGATTTATCATCATCGCGAGGCTCTATCGATGATACAAGTGTTATGGTCATCAAATTACAGAAATATATTTGAAGTCTCAATACAAAAGAAGCTACGAAGCACCGACACAAACATAAATATCAAACACGACATTGACACATACGTGTTAGTGATTGAATTGAATATAATTACACGTATCAATGTCTTTCTGATGCCTGATATTAACCTATATTAGACATCAGACAAATCTTCAGAATAGGTAATATGTAAATTGAGATAGTCGAATTTTTTCATTTCATTCTTACCCTTCTGTAAGTTAGCTGAGGAGTTAATAAAATGTAAAAAGTAGTTTTTCTTTTTTTTTTTGGTAGAATCTTGAAGTAATAATAAATATTTTTTAGTAACCCAACATTTTATGTAAATTAATGCAACACATAATATTCAAACATGGTATATTCTGGCTTAAACATGTGCATAGTACTTCTTTCTGTTTATGAACTGTTGATGAAAGTGAAAATTTGAGAATATAATATAGTTTTCTAGCTTGTGAGTGAGTGATTACTTTTTCCTCTATCACACACATATTGACTCGGTAAAGCCATAAATGTTTTAATTTTTTTCTAGTCAACAAAAAACCTCCAAATGAAACCACGGGAACTCTTATAAATTGTTTAAACTAATGAGAACGCAATTATTAAATTAGAACCAATATCACCGATTTGTAAAGGATTTGACCGAGTTTGGTGACAATCAAACTACTTACATTAAGACATTTTGCCAACACTTTTTAATAGGTTACTCCGTCTTTAAATATATATGATCATAGACTATATCATCAAGATTAAAGAAGTTGATAGTAGTATTAAATGGTGAGGACTTCGGTACTCAATAAAAGGTTTAGAATACTGGTACCCCCTGAGGTGGATCTAATTAAATATATATAGTTGTATTATAATTCAATTAAAAACTACTTGTAGTCTTTTGAAAAAATAAAACTGTTTGTATCCTTCTGTAAAATAGAAAAAACTGTCTATGAATTTAATGTTATTTTTATAAATGTTTCGCTCAAATTTTCGTATGATTCGCCTTTATATATATATATATATATATATATATATATATATATATATATATATATATATATATATATATATATATATATATATATATATATATATATATATATATATATATATATATATATATATATATAGAATTATTTGATCTATATAAGTTAGCGAGACTTTAAATTTAGTCTCTGTATTTTTTTTTCTGGGTCTTTATAATTCTATTTTGCGTTGTATTTAGTCCATGACGTCAGTCTTATGTTAAAAAAATGACGACTGTGTAAATGGTGCTTACGTGAAAATTGCTTATGCGTGTTTTTCATTTTTATCTGATGCAGGCGTGAAAAGGCACGTGAAAGGACCTTGAAAAGGAGGACATAATCCAAAAAAATCACATTTTGCATTTTGTCAATTCTTCTTTTTCTTCGTCTCATCTTCTTTTAGAGAACTTCAAAATTTTACCAAGAATCAATCATGATAACATCTTATGTTGAGAATTTCGTTGAGTCTAAATCTTATTTTGTGGTTGCAATAAAACTATGAGAATGTTCATTTCAAACTCAACTAAAAACCCTAAAAGAAGATTCTGAAAATGTTCAAATTTGGGATTATGCTGCAAGCTTTTCATTTGGGATGATGAACTTGAACACAGCACATCAAATGAACACAAAACCCAATTGGATGAAATTGCTCAAAGGTAGTTCAGGAATTAGGGTGTGAGGCTAACAAGATTATACCTGAGTGAATCGCACACTCAAAGATACAACAGAGTCGCCACTGAACTTTATTTAGTCCTAGAGGACGGCGAAATTATCGATAAAACTCAAGGGAAGAGAAACGGGTAAGGGGGTCGGTTATGGAGAGGAATGTACTAGCACCTCACGCATTCGTCGTACTCGACGGGAACCATTTCGCTTACTTCTAGGCTTGGATGTGTTATCTACCTAAAGGCTTCTAGCTAAAAAAGAAAGGAAAAGAGAAAGAAAGAAGGAGAGAAGGAGGAAAAGAGAAAGAAATGCTTGCAGAGGATTAGGGCCCTCGTGTCTACGTACTCTCATAGTGCAATGAGGAAATTAGAGCTCCGTAGTTCAGGGAACCAGGAAAGAAAAGAATATTTGGGCGGACCATAGAGAAAGAAGAATGGAAGAAGGTAGCTCGCCAAGATTTCGCAATCTCGTGCCTACGTACCCTCATAGTACAATGAGGAAATCAGAGCCTGCGTAGTTCGAGAAACTAGGACAGAGAAAGAAAAAGAAACGGAGACGGTGTCAAAATCAAGAGCGAAAGGAGGAAGCAAGACCCTACTGGGGATGCAAAAGAAGTGATGTCAAAACCAAGAAAGAAAGACAAAGGAAAACTCTGTTGAGGAATGCAGAAGAGAAGTGATGACTCCACCAGGGAGAAAACAACAGAATGGTGTCGAAACTAGAAAAATAAAAGAGTGAAGGATAAGATCGAGGTAAAGGTAAGATCCACGGGGGACTCGATGTATTAACTAGCAGACAGGTATTAATCGAAGGAGGATAAGAGTAAGACTTTGTAGGGAAAGCAAAAGATTGGTGTTAACAGGCGGGTTGTGATGAACTAGAATGAGAGTAGTGAACCAAGAGAAGGTGTCTGACTCTCTAGAGAACTCAATGCGTTAACTGATAAATAGTGGTTAACCGAAAAAAGAAAGGAGTTTGTTTTAACCGATAGACAGTGATTAATAAAAAAGAACAGGTTTGGAACCAAGCAAATGTTGTGACCCAAAGGACGAGTGTGGAACCAAGCGAAGGTTGTGACTCAAAGGACGGGTGTGGAACCAAGCGAAGGTTGTGACCCAAAGGACGGGTGTGGAATCAAGTGAAAGTTGTGACCCAAAGGAAGGGTGTAGAACCAAGCAAATGTTGTGACCCAAAGAACGGTACACTGACTGAATAAGCAGTACTTGATCGAAGGAAAGGGTATTTGAACCAAACAAAGGTTACTAACCTAAAGGTGCGAGTGCTTGAACAAAAGAAAGGTTACTAACTGCAAGGGACTCGGTATTTAACATAAGGACTGTGATTACCGAAAAGAATTAGTGATTAACAAAGAAAAGGTTATTAACTCAAAAGAAGCTCAATATGTTAACAGATGGACTGTGGTTAACTGAGAAAAATGATGATCGATTCTAACAGGCAGACTGTGATTGACCAAAGAGCGGGTGATTAACCGGAAGAAGGGTTGGTTTTAACAGGCAGACTGTGATTGACCAAAGAACGGGTGATTAACCGCGAGAAGGTGATTAACCCAAAGAAAGCTCAATATGTTAACATACAGACTATGATTAACCGAGGAGAAAAGCAAATGGTGTTTTAACTGATAGGCAGCGATTAACCAAACAAGAAAGAGAGAACCAGTAGAAGGTTGCGAACTCCGATGGGGACTAGGTTTTGACAGGAAGATTGTCTTTAACCGGAGAAAAAGGATTGACTTCGCTGGAAAAAGAGAATTTAGCTTTAACCAAGGAACGGTATACTAGCCAAAGGAAGGACTGATTACAACTCTCCTGGGGAATCCAAGAAAGTGATTGGTCAAAAGAGAAAGGAATGTTGAATCAAAAGGAAGAAAGTTATATCAAGAGATAATGAATAGGGTGCAAGTGATCAAAAATCGACTCGGCTGGGAAATATGAGACACAACAGCTTGGGAATAGAGATGACTTATTCCAGGTGTAAGAGCCAGACGCCCTTTCCCAGAAACAGTTAGAATGAGGATAAGATAGACTCTCATCCTCATTCCTTCTCTAGTACCCAAAGTATAGTGAATGAAACAAAACCGACAGTGTAATGACGCAAACTTGTACAGAGCTCCAACGTGTTGTGTAGACTTTCGACTCTGCGGGGGAACGAGAGAACAAGGCTCTAAAAGATCTAAAAGAAAAGAAAGATGGAAGGTCAACTAATCGAAACAAGGTTTCAATCAATTAATCAAAAGGGTGTGATGTGCTAACAATTTTCCAAAGGAGATGAAAAATCATTAAAGTAAAAGGGTAAATTATTGATTATAAAATATTAAGATTATTCAATAAAGAACAAACTAAATGCAAACATGAATGGAAGTGCAAAACAGTACCAGATGTCATTTAGTATGCCTCACAAAATCATGTAGCATGTGATCAAAGAATATGCAAGAATTAACATGATCATACAAGTGTCACAAAATTCAAATAATCGAGAACCGACAAATCATGCATTGAAAGTTTACATACATGCTTACAATAGAAGTTAAACAGCTCATAAAATATCCCTAAATATCAAGCATATCAAGCCATGGAAGTTTAATGAGGAAAGAATAGCAAACAAGCTTGAAAATAGGCAAAAATGGAATTTTGTTACAATGGTAATCAATTACCACATGCAGGTAATCAGATACCTGCTCAAAAATTTCAAAACCACGGGAGGAGTTGACTGTGTGTCACAGGAATTGGATCTAGATGAGCATTCCTTCGTTCCAGATTATTCTGGGGTTTGTGTAGGTTCTGACGCTCTCTGCCTTGGGCTCGATGATTTTGAGCATGAGAAGTTTGCTCTTGAAGGTGGACATTTGCCATGACAATACTTGTTTCCTCTTCCCTTTCTTTAGAGAACCCGCCTTGTGGCTTATTGGCCCTTGATTGTTGATTCACAGTGCCAACAATTTTCCCTGTTTTGAGCCCATTCTCAACGTGTTCCCCAATGGTCACAACATCAACAAAATTGGAGGATGGGCTACCAACCATCTTCTCATAATGCAAACCTGGAAGAGTGCCCTTGAATATGTCAACCAACTCTGTATCAGATAGAGCAGGCTGAACTCGTGAGGCTATATCACGCCACCTCTAAGCGTATTCTCTAAATGATTCATCGACTTTCTGAGCTTGATTTTGCAGTTGCAACCTGGTGGGAGCCATATCCAAGTTGTACTTGTATTACTTCAAGAACGCTTCGAATAAATCTTTCCATAAGCCAACCTTGCTACGCTCTAAACCCATGTACGAATCTAAATAAGCTCCTGACAAGC